ATTACCATGCATCCATGAAGAAGATTCTGTTTTTATTTCTTTGCAGAGAGGTTAAGTAGCTTAACTAAGGTCACTTAATTAGTATATCTTGGGGCAAAGATTCAACCCAGGCTGGCTGGCTTCAGAGAGATAGCTCTCAACCCCTACATTGTACTCCTGTAGCAAGTACAATCTGTTTTCCCAAGTGGGAAAACAAGAGTGAGCAGTTTATTTCTCGGCTTATGAGCCTTGGAGGCTATTCTTTGCCTCCAGAATAAAGTCCAGATCCCTTACCAAGTTAGTGCAATGCCATCCTTATCTGGCTCCTGCCTGCCGCCCCTGCCTCATCTTCTGTGACTGGAAGACCATTAAAATTTGTAGTTCTCTGGTCTACAATATGGTGCTTGTTAGACCTACCTTTGTTCCCTGCTTGTCCCTGTGGCTAAATGGTCTTCTTTTCCCATCACCTACTTCCTTTCTTTTCCCTATTTCCAGGAGCCTTCTCAGACTAAGTTAGGTGGCCCTTCTAACTGTTCATATAGTTCTCTTTGAATGCTTCTATCACTGCACTGCAGCAGTGTATAACAAAGAACTTACGATCTCCTTGTATATAGGGACATATTTTCAGTGGTAGCCACGTCTCTGGCTTATAGTAGGTACACAATAAATATTTAACAAACTGAATGTAAAGTTTATGAATCAATATATGAAATAAGAAAAATCCTTCCCAAAGAATTATTCTTATTTCTCTATGATAAAACCTGGTTGATTTGGGATAAACTCATTTGAGATAATTTGGGATAAAAAAATAAAAAGAACTTAGTTTTTTTGTTTTGTTTTGTTTTGTTTTGTTTTTTTCCTGTTGCTCTTGGAATTTTATAATGATTCTAAGTGAAAGAAATACTTAGCTCTATAGGTTTTTTTTCTGGCATATTTTTGTCTTGTACTTTCTCTCATCTTAGCACTGCAGGAACCCCTGGCTATACCAAAGCTGTGGTTTCCCGTGTGGCAGAGTGGGTGGGTGTTGGTCAGTGACCAAGCACTTTGAAATAGGCAGGATAAAAGAAGAAATTAGGATGAATGCATTCATACATTGAATAAGTATTTGTGCTTGTGCCGAGGGTAAAACAATGAACAGGAATGCCCACCTGTCCTGTCCTCATGGAATCGACAGACCAGTGGGAAGGGCATGGGGAGGAAAAACAGGGAATCACAAATGCTGATGTTGAATTAAAATGGTAATAAATATTCTGAATGAAGCTTATGAGAGTATATAACAGGGTGAATGGCCTACCCTATGGGTTAGTAAGCCTCCCCTGATAGGAAAATCGGTGAAATGAGGTGCCGATACACCCCCACTGCCTAGTTAACTTCTCCCATAAACCCAACCCTAGGCACAAGTACTTGAACCTTCACCATCTTCAGAAACAGCTGGTTCCATAACTAGAAGTCTGGCGTATGTCCTTGACATTTTTCTTTCCCTTCCAGCCTTTATCTAATTTATCAAGAAGTCTTCTTGGTGCCCCCTCCAAAATATTCCAGATCCCTCAGCTTCTCTCCACCTTCACTACACCATCCTATTCCTAGCTATCATTATCTGCCACTAGTCTAACTTGTCCATGTTTCCACTCTTGCCTCTTGTAATCCATGCTCCACACAAGGAAGAGATCTTTTAAACCTTTCTGTTGAGTAAGTTTGACATATATCTTTGTGTCTATTTAAGGTGTTTAAACTTTTACATCAGATTAATGCATTTCATTGGATGTAAGAATTCATCGATTGTGACACATTATGTATCAATAGGAAAGAAAAGTATGACATCATTATTTCTTAGCACTTTTAGATTTATCTAACTCTTAGACTTATATATCACTTTTTTGCATACTTAAAATGAAAATATAAATGAAATTGGTTAAAGTATTTCTAAGGTAATGGCAATAACTACTATCTAACCAATACTGACTGAAAGATACCATGGATTTCAAAATCTATTCTTGATTTCAGGGATATGTGTCTTAAAATCTGTGGAATTTGGTATTTTGCTCACATGCTCAAAATCACTCAGTAGCTTTCCATTACATTTAGGATAAAATCCTAAATCCTCACCGTGGTCCACAGATCTTGCTTAACATAACCCTGCTTATCTTTAAGATCTCATCTTCCACCATGCTCCAAAGTTCACTCCTCTCCATTTCATCTGGCCACACTGGCCTTCTTTCTGGTACTGAATATGTCAAATTAATATGCACCTCAAAGAAACTTCCTGTTTGCTATCACTAGAATGTTCTTCCTTTAGTGTTTAGAATGAAGGACTCCTCCTCCTCATGAAATTTCAACTTTAATATCCCTCCTCAGAGACCCTCTCGGGCTACTTAATGTAAAGTTGCCATTTTATCTTATCAACTTTTTCTTCATAGCACTTATTTGATATTATAGGGTCTATTTATGTAGACCCTATTTATGTAGTTGTGCGTTTTATGTCTTTCCCCAATAGAATATACACGCCATGAA